TTGTTTTAATGGGAAAGTAGCAATGTACAGTATATTGGCGCCCCAAAGGGCCCAAACGGCTGAAACTGGTATTGACGCCCCTGAAAAAGGTAGCCGGGCGCACATGTGTTTTTCATTTTGAGGGACTGGCGGTGAGCGGGCCCATAAACCCCATAACGAGTTATGATCGTTTTAACAGCACTTTTTTTGACAAATTTTCTTGATTTTTTTAAAAATCAACGGAGATTGTTTATTGAAAAACTATTGACCGAATGTGTTTTACATTGAACTCAAAATGCATTGTTTTTTTTTCAGGTCGGCTCGGCAATTCTACAACGAAATAGCCGCAGTCGACATTTCTATGAATAAAATGAATAATTATCGCAATTTCGATCTTTTTCTTCCCTGGTTGGCTTCTCAGGGGTTATACGAATCTCTGAAAAAATTGACGATTTAAAAAAAAAAAAATTCGTACGTTTACTAGCGGTTCAAAGTTTGCCGACTTTTACGGACCCTGAAAATCGGGGGGTTTTTCGGCTTCTCACAGCGATTATAAATAAACTAATCAAATTAAAAACTTGAAACTCCGTATTGGGCAAGCGAAATACTTATATTACACAGTGTATTTGGTCTCATATTTTTACGATTTTTTTTCACTGAGTTATAGACGTTTATTTCGAGTGGTCTCTACTTTTGACACCGACAGTAATCCATACGCAATACCCCCTTCCCGTGGTCACTAGGAGGTCGATGGAATTTTATCATTGGACTTTATGTTTTGGGGGTGAGGAATCCGAATATGTTGTTTATTTTGTCCTCCCGTCGCGCAATTATTTGTTATAAACAAATTAGTCCCCATTTTTAGTGAATAAATGTTCTTCCGGGAAAACAAAGAGAGATATAGAAAAATTGTTCCAACAAAAGTTATTCCTCTTTCTTTCACCAATAATATAATTTTTGACTCGTCGAAATCGGTCCAATACTTCCCGAGATACAGGCTAAAGAGTGAGCGCGGGTGGATAGACTGCGCGGACGACGGCTGAGTATGGGCGCGGAGCAGAGTATCTGAGTGAATATCGTTGGTTTGTACATTCTGTCTTTTTAAAAATGTATAATTCGGAGCATTTCCGAAACCATAGATCGAGACATGGTAAAGGAAGGCACTGAACACGATTTACACATTGTTGAACATCATATGTTTATAAAATTTATACAGCGCAGTGCAGTATGCAAACAAACGATATTCGTTTAGATACACTGCTCCGCGCCCATACTCACCGTTCGTCCGCGCAGTCTATCCACCCGCGCTCACTCTTTAGCCTGTATCTCGGGAAATATTGGATCGATTTCGACGAGTCAAAAATCATTTTATTGGTGAAATAAAGAGGAATAACTTTTGTTTGAACAATTTTTCTGCATCTCTCTTTGTTTTCTNCTTGAGCAATGAAAAAGTGTTTTTTGGCGAGTGGGAGGTTTATATCACGAGCCGATGGCGAGTGATATAATCCCACGAGCTAAAAAACATTTTTTCACGAGTTACGAACAATATTTTTCATCACAATGTGGCGGAAATTGGACTTTTAGGCACGCTCCACGTGCCGAAAAGTTCACTTTTCGTCACAGCGTGATGAAATATACTATTTCACATATAACATTTTCTACATGAAAAATACTTTAAACTTTGGTTACAAATATACTTTAAACTTTATACTTTTCATACTTTAAACTTTGGTTACAAATATAAAAAAATATAAGGAATGTCGAATCTCCATCAAATAAATCTCCCGAGAGATCAATCTCCTCGTCACTGTCGGGTATGATGTGGTTGTCCATTTAATTTCACTGCTTTTATATTGATTAAATGAATAAATTTAACGACAGAATATTGAGAGGGTTATGTGAATACCAATAAGTGAGGCAGTGGGCGATGTTATGAGTCGATGCGCGAGTCGATATGCAATGGATGTGTGGAATCCAACAATGATATTGCAACGACCATTTGCGCATCGATCTGCGCATCGGCCCGTGCATTCGCGCATGCCCATGGGTTACGCACGGGATTATAACAGATGTGTAGGGTTCCATACTACAGTGTGAAACCCGGCACTTTCTGTGCGTCGACACTCAACTGAAACTGGTCGGATTTCACGCACGTATGGTATAAACAATATATTTATGCCATAGGTGCCCAGAATCGCGGATTCTGGGCCCTATGACATAAAATAGTATACGAAACTCGTGCATGATGGTGTTTTTTGATTCGTGGGATTGTAAAACTCGCCTTCGGCTCGTTTTACAACTTCCCACGAGCCAAAAAACCCATTACGCACTTGTTGCGTAATATACTATTACGAAAATGTTGCTATCTCCCTTAGATTTAGAGATATTCCTCGAAAACTCAGCGAACAGCTAAGTCGACTTGAATCGTTTTACCACTTCACTACTGAATTGACAAAGTCAATCTTTTTTCAATTTTCCCGGTTAGCCAGACAATTGTAATTGATGAAAAATTATGCGCGGCGGGGTTTCCCTCATATGGTGATCAATCTAGGGTCAACGTTAGGGCAATGTTGGCTGCCATGGGGAATGTTGAATTAAATGAATCATTTAAGGCCCGGGTGTACTATCTTCCGAACGTTATCTCGGTGTTTTTTTTCATCTTTCGTCATCTGAAATTGTCAATTAAGTCCTGCATCGTGCAGAAGTTTTGAAAAATTGTGAATAAATAATCAAAAAAGGAGAAAAAAATCCTAATTTTTTCAAAGAGCATTTTTAATTTATATTCAGAATAAGTTGAATAACAAGAAATTGAAAAATGTATCTGATTTACGATGACAAATGGCGGCCTGTCATCCGATATCATGCAGGGAGAAGACTGATGCCGTAAATCTTTACCCACACTGCACAGGGACATTTATTACGGAAAAGGCTCTTTGAAAAAAGTTGTAATATTTTGGAGAATTTTTTAATCGCACTTTTATCGCATAAAAATGGCAGATGACTACATGCCACTGTTTTGAAAATTGAGATACCAAAGCTGTCACTTCCCATGAGTTGTTCAGGGCAAGAGCACTCAACCGACTGAGATATAATTATTCAAATACTATATTGTTTGCATTTAATGACGACTCTGTAAAGAAGGCGATCCTGCAATATATGGACAAATATCTACTCTTTTGAAAAGTCATTTGGGGAGTGAATTTATTGGGTTTATACCTTTTCATTTAAATTACTTCCTGCAAGTGTTTTGTTATCTACCATGGACAGTGACAGCTAATAGATAATGTGCCACAGCGAATCAGATATTTGTAATTTCCACTTTTTTCAACTCATTCTGAATCTCAAGAACGCTCTTTGAAAAAATTCAGAATTTTTTCTACTTTTTTAAAGATAATTCTGTCATAATTTTTGGGAATTTCTACATGATGTACCACTCAATTGACAATTTTGGATTACGAAAGATGAAAAAAAATCCAGACAACATTCGAAAGATAGTACATCCAGGCCTTAACTGAGCCGAATAACTGAGCCTTAACTGATGAATAATTACATTAATTGACCATTTCACGTAAGTAACGTCAAACATTCCATGGAATTCCGCGGATAATATTAATTCCATCAGTTGATTTCACGATTAAGTTAATATTAGAATCAAACAGCGTTTCAATGAAGATAATTTAATCCCCTGTAACGCAATGAATTTACTCACCCCCAAGTTTTCCCTTAATTCTCCTAATTATAACGTTCAAGGTTTACGTTTCCGACTAATAAAGACGAACTTCTCAAGTATCTGAATTGTGGGATACTGTACACGTTTCGTTATCATGTTTGGACGAGGGGTCATGCCGCTACAAATTATAGTTTTTGGAAAGTGGCAGTTGATCCCTATGAAGTTACGTGGGAGCCGGATTTTGAGCCTTACATCGTAATATCTAAATCCACACCCCTATACGACCAAAGATTTATCGGCTTTGGGTGGAACAAAGTCTCGTACGTCACACATTTAACTGCCCTGGGATACAAGTGAGTATAAATATCCCTCCAATGATAGAAATTGCCAGTGACATGAAATATTACTTACCAGTATCAGAGGCGCAGGGAATGAATTGAAAGTGAACTCGATCACTTTGCCAATTATTCAAATGTCTCGAAAACGAGGAAAATACCGTCACCATTTCCAAGAGAAAATATTTTGACATTTGACATTTCCTTTTCACATCAATAATTGCTGGCGCTGGGACGTCTCTGTCAGGGAAAACTGATCCATCGAAGATATGTTCGAAAATTGGGTGCAGATAGTTCCGTAAATAGCACTAAATAAAAAATATGTAGAGAAAATGTACGAAATACTTTTTTGCAGCCGTAGAACTTTTCAAAAAATCCGTCTTGCCAAGTCACAGTTTCTGTCATCAATTCTGACTATTAAAACAAGTGTTTTGAGTCACATCGGAAGTTCGGCAAAGTCGTCGATCTATTTAATTTTCAAGTTTTGTGCTCAAAATTTCTAGTTTTTTGTTGGAAATCTTTATAAAATCATCAGATACAGTTGATTATATGTCTAAAGGATATCTAAAATAATTGAATTAATATTTTCCAAAAGTATAATTAACATGATCTGAAGACTTTCTAGAAATTCCTAACGAAAATTAGTAAATTTTAAACAAAAAAATTGAAAATGAAATAGAACTAGAACTTTGCTCAGCTTCTGGTATGGCTCAAAACACTTGTTTCACAGTGAGAATAGATGACAGAAAAATTAAGAAAATAAAACGTGACCTAATGCGGCAAAACGCAAGTTTTCCAACTTTTTTTCGAAAATTTATAATTGTCCACGTCTGGGGATTGAAAAGACAATTTCATCCTTCAGTTTTTTAAAGACAGCAGGAAAAGAAACATTTTCGTGCTCGATAGATTGAAATCAGTCTACTTAGAATACAAGTTATGTGAAACAAAACAGAAAAATACGAAAAAAAATCAGGAGATAGTTTCCCCTCAATCTTGCCAGGAATCTCCGTTTACTTCCGAGGGAGTGAGGGACAGGGGTTGAGCGGTTTAGCATGGAATATCTCATGTACTTTCAAGAATTAAATTAGTAGCTTTAGGGTAGCTGCTGCATGTACCGCCCACCTAAGGGAAATCAGCCTTTTTTTAGCCTCGCCTTCTATAAGGAGTCATAAACGGTTAGAACGGGTTTTTCGAGCGGTTTACTCAAAGATGTGAAGAGGCCAGATTTTTTATTAACATTAAACATATTTAATTATGTAGTTCAATTGCCATCGGCCAGTGAGCGATGGAATCGAACTTTTAGGGTGATACCGCCCGGCATACGTCCAATACCGCCCACCTTGTTTTGATGGCGGGAGGAAAATGTGTCCTTTCCGCTCACCGTGGCGAAATAATAAATTATCCTGAATTTACCCGATGTTTCAGTGGCCACCAACTACCCCAAATAATCGAGCTGTCACTCGACTGCCCTCTAGCTGCAGAGTCTAGCAGCCCTATAGAAACCCTGGGCAGCATTACCCACAAACTCTGCGCGGAATTACCCACAAACGCGGAGGCTCGTAAAATAGCCAATAATAACTGATGAAGACATTTTTCTGCTATCGAAAAGGTCGCAATGGATGTGGAAATGTATAACGAACATATATTCCGCACTCCATTCAATTATGGTCCAACTGAAAATTTTTAAAATCTTAAAATCTGGCGTCGAAATATTATATTTGAAGAATTTCGTAGGAAATGATTTGGATTTTTTAATGATGTTTCCATACGAGAAAATCAAAAATTTCTGTTGAAATTACTTGTTGTTATCAAATATTTGCATAATAAAAAAAGAAAAAAAAATTCTCAGCTAATCCTGAGAAATACGGCTGGGCGGCATTACCCGCTGGGCGGTATAGGCACGGGCTACCCTAGAGGGAAAATATCAGATCACTTTTTTGCAGACGGTTAAGTTGTCCACAGACAACATTGTGGAATTCTTCCTTACAACAAACTGCTCCCTGTAAGGTAAATGTACCTATGCCCGTCTTTGTCCCTACGCTCGTTCAGATCCTGCCAGCTATGACATTTCAATCATTTTGATAGTCCCAAGAGTCTATTAAAAGTGAAGTATGATTGGAGTTATTATTTTAGTAAATAAGAAAAGTTAGAGACACCAATGCAGAGTGATTTATTGAATAATAAGAGAGAAATATCACATTCACATCAACTCGTGCTACAACAGAGTTAATTCTTAAGCCACAAGTTAAGAAACTCACAATTTTAAAACGTTGATATCTCCGTTACAATAGTAAAATGGAATTAAAAATCCCTTGGCTAAGGTTTCGAATAGTTAAAAATTTAATAATAAAAATGCATAAATTATAGTAATATCCGGATATTTCACTGAAATATTGTCAATTAAAAGAATAGGTACAATGAAAATGGCATTGATCCTACGCTCGTTTTGCACCCAACTGTCAACTGGTAACGGACTAAACGGATGAAAAAACCATTTAAAAGGTTGGACTGTCTAATGGAAATATACTTTTGTGTATTGAGATATTTTTTAATGTTGTTTTATCACAAAATGGCATACTCACGATGTAATTAGTTCGGATATAACCTTTCCATATCACTCAAATCACGAGACGAGGATAGGGACATGTGTCAAATGTGACATCCGTCGAAAAATGCATTATAATCCATTTTTCCTAAATAATTTTCTCTATGGAATAACCATTATTTCATAATTTTTATGAACGCATATCTGTAAAGAGAGTCAAATGCGAAGATCCCAAAGGTTCCTTGTAGGAATAGAGAAGGTGGAATAATAGATTGGAAAGGGTAACCCAATCAAATATAGAGACGACACACATAAAAATTATCCATGTAGAATTAAATCGCGAATGAATGAATCAATATTTTCTTGTTTTAAAATTGTGGAAACTATCAAATATTACAATTTAACAAATTAGAAAGGCATGAGATGTCTGTGAATCTCATTACCGGTTGGCAATAGAAAAATCAATAACACCTCTGAAAATGTATGAGAATGTGAATGGGGTGAAACCTACGTTTTGGGGCTAACCCGGAACCTCACCGTTTAAGAGGTTTCGCGGGTGACTAAGCTGGACAGTGACCATATAGCGGAAGTGTGATGCTATGACTCAATTAGGGGAAAAACGCCTAAAAATAACCACAAGTTATGATACGTCAATTAGGGGAAGCAGATGGTTGACTATTCCCTTCACAAAATTTGGAAAAACTACGCAAGTCCAAACGGAAAATGAGGAGGCCTAATGTCACCTGATCACCAATCAACGAGCTCCATGACAGGATAGGAGAAACGTCACCACCAATCCCCGAATAATATCCAAAGAAATCCAATAATTAGGCGGATACCTGCAGAAGACAATGGTAAAAACAGGGGGAAGCTTCTAGAACCTTCCACCCCTGATGACACACTTTCGATTCAATATAAAAAGGGAGCCGCGACGCGGAAAAAGTCAGTTCCACTACACGTTCCAGTTCTTCATCAACCCTTCAGTTGGCTACTTTCATCGATTCTACAAGTACGATAGTCACAAGTTTAGAATTAGCAGAGACGCCCGTTCTCTGAGTTAGATAAATTCATCCAGTCCTAAAGTGGGGACCCAAGTAATTTTGAAGTAACAATCAAATGTAGAGTTTTTCGTAACTTTACTTATTTAAAATATTCTACGACTTTTTGTCAATGAATAGAATCTTTCATGATTCTTTGATAATTTATATTGCCAACTGAAAATATCGGAACTCAATTAACATTTTGGAACTCAAATAATTATTATTCATTCATCCAAAGTAATTAAAACGAAATTATTGTAAACAAATAACTTTAGAATTAGGAAACGACAAACCTGTACAAGCACAACGAGAAGAAGGTCACGTAAGTTGTATGACCATCATTATAATTGTAAACTCACCAAAATTTCAGAATATAATTGTTCAGATTTAAAATTCTTTTATTTAAAACTAACACCTTGTGTTTCCAGCCAAGACACTTTCCCATTGATAATACTGGGGAATAATTAACTTCAATTCAAGGGGACCTTATTATTCAACTCTCTAGTGATTTGTTTTCTAACATTTACCAATTAAAATTTATTTCAAAAGTTTTCATACTTTTCATGTCATTTTCACATGACAACCAATGTTATAGTCGAGATTTCATCATTCCCGACATAACACAAACGAGCATGGGGACAAATGAACGGGCCATGGGACTTTTCACATTCATGGATGACTATTTATTAAAAAATAGTAATTATCATAATTAATATAAATAAATTCCAATTCTGAAGGTTTTACCCTCTGATATGTAATTTAAATCATCGCATCTTCACGCTTATTTCGATAGAAATATTGGACTAATGATGTTTTCACCTTAGCTAGACGAGCGTAGGGTCATTTACCTTATTCTATTTCTTCCTCACTCCCGGAAAATCGAACTGATGAACCAAATAAATTCTCATTTGACCCATTACCGAAATTAAATTCCACTGACTATTTATAGATACGTTGTATTGCCAAACGCATTCATTATTCATCGACCCCACGGCCCCAGTGCAGACATTGGAAAATTTAGAACAGATCCATTGTACCGCAGGTAATTATCAAAACGGCCGTTCAACCGATTCTCCAAAGCCAGTCTAAAGTCGCAAAAAATTTCCAGGTGTCTGAAGCGGCTCAAGGATAAATTCGTCGAGGAGTTGATTGCTAATTACGGCGAGGAGGCATTGTCAAGAATCAAGAAAATTACCAAAGAATAATCAAAAAGGAAAGCCCAACCATGAGAATATTTTTACATTGTAGAGAATAATGAAGATAATTGTATTTTTCTTGATCAAAGAGCAATTTATGCGATAACGAAATGCCAAATAATTTTTTGAACTTTTATGCAAGAATGAAAGTTTTATTTTTATTTTTATCATTTTTTTGTGGGAATTTTGTTAAGAGGGGTGATGTAAATAAAAAAGTGAGGAATCTATTTTTTTTTTATTGGCTTGGGAAGTATTTATTAAAATTTAACCCATTCAATAGAGTGTACAGAACAGTTCTTCCATATACATCATCATAGATTTACAATCTAATTATGTTCATAATGTTTTATTTGTTTCTCATCTTTTATTATAAAATATGTATCATATGTACACAAAATCAGTTGTATTTCATAGAAATAATTTCTCCATCGATTAGTAGATATCAGAAACATTCTCATTTATTCCACGTCTGAATCTTATGTTTTTCATACATAATTTTTTTTATCTCTTTATCTTTGTATAAAATATTATCTCATTACTGACAGTAATTAAATGGCAATTATCGAATGAACCATCAAATTTTTAATTAATACTAGAAATAATCATGATTGACGAAGAACAATAAGCACAGTATTATTATGGCAATTACAAATGCACATTGCATTATAAATTTTTATTTTCACTTATTAACAATACTATATCACGTACATCATTAAAATTATTCTATTTCAGCTATAATACATCGTGTTTCTTCCCTCATTAACATAATTACGTCATCATTCACTGCATTCATTTTCTCTAAACGTAGCTCATGGCTTTCATATTTTTCTCTACTCTCATTAACATTTTTTAATGCTCCTCTTATACATAATAATCTGATGGAAGATATCAGTTAATTATTCACTGATATTGATTTGGAATTGTCATAGAAGTTCTCGCAATGTCTGATATAGAAATGCTTTGTCTTTTCTTCATTGTATAAAAAAACTAAAAAAAGTGTAATAAAAAAATTAAGGAAATCTATGACTATTTATTGTTAGTCAATCGAAATTGGTAAAGTGCCTCATTAATTTCGAAATTGTTCTATTGGAATTTCATGTTGATGTAATTTTCATTCCATTGACAGTAATCGTATCGTTCCCAGTGTAATTACATGGTAGTTGTCACGACGAAGATTTTCACTCGATTAAAATAAAACAGAATTGCAACTGTTAGTGCAGTATTGGAGTGGTAGAACGTGGAACAACAGAATAAGTCTACGTTTCAACTCATCTTCTGTTGAGTGCGAAATTATGTATCCATTAACTAATGATATTATATTAATAATATTAAATATATTATATTATAATATAATATTAATTATATTAATTATAATATTAATTATATTATAATTAATATTATATAACATGTAATATATATATTATATTAATTACATTATCGACAATAAGGAAAGAGACTGTTGACATTTGCACGCAATACAACAATCATTTCCGTTCTACCACTCTAGTGCACAATAAATTTTATCTCGCATTGTTTCTCTCATTCTATTCTCGTTATTTGCAATAGCTCGTACTAACATCTCGCAAGTTGCCGTTCATTTCGACACACGTGAATACAAAATTACAAAAATATATTAGCAAAACGTCACACCCAAGAAATGAATCCACAATTCACGAATTTAAAGATGAGAAAAAAAAACTGTTTTGTCTACTCCAAGTGCTTTCATGTACATATTAACAAAGTGCATATCAACCGAGAATAGTTCATCAGTATAGAGTGTATATACATGGAGCATTGACTCTGGGTACATTTTGGGTGTGTCGTATCGCTCGAGAACTCTCTGTTAGGCCACTTGAAATACTTGACGGCAAAACGCTGATTACGGCGAGCTGAGGTTTCTGTTCACGATTACTCTCAGTATGTGCTTGAGGATAAAAGCTTTGGTTGGGTGGACAGAGGGGGGAGGGGGGAATAGAGAAGGGGGGATAGAGGGTTGAAAGAGAAAATTAGAGGGAGTGAGTGAGAGAATGGAACAACTTGCCGGAGGGCTGCGGGCACGTTGACGTCCAACGCACAATGACACTGAACTATCAACGGTTAACATTCAATTAACGTTTGTCCCTTAATTACGTGACCATGCTCTATGCCTTCATGCTCTACCTCCTCAAACTAACTGACAATTTATTGACGAAAGCTTTGATAGTGATTTAACACTTCCCTCGGGTATCATTGAATTAGGAATAGTCGGTTCATTTTGGGGAATATTCTTTTTCGAAAGGGAAGTGACTGATGTTCTCTTCAAACTGTCTTAGTTCTCCTGATATTTGTTGGGTTTCTTATTTTTGGGAGGGACAATTGTTGGAAAAAATCGGGGAGACACTTTTTATAAAAGCTTTTGTGAAGTGCAAAAATGGCTTATTCATAATTTTTCTGTAATGTAGTAGTTTAAAAAATACGGTAAAGAGTTGCGAATAGATTTTTTGAGTACAACTGAAGATTGGTTGCTGGTAATTGTCTGGATATTGTGAGAGAGATTTTCCCAATGCGTAAAGGGTTTCTTGAGATTATTTTTAAAGTAGTATAAATATAACTTGAATTTTGAAGATTATAATCTGAAAGAAATTCTAAACGAAAATTCATCTGAATAGACACTTTTCGTGAGAAGACCCGGTAAACTGCGATTCTAACCTCGCTTCGCTCGGTTTGATCGCGGTTTACGGACCTTCTGACGAAAAATTGCATTCATCAGACGGTCCAAAAGTATTTTCTGACGAATGTGATTATAGGCCTCGCCTTCGGCTCGGCCTACAAAGCCACATTCGTCAGAAAATACTTTGTGGACCTTGTGATGAAAATAACTATTATGAGGTTGTGCTCAATCGACAGTCTAATGTTACTGACAATAATTAATCTAGAAATGCAAAAATAACACAGCCTTATGAGAAAATGATTTTTTGACATTCCGACCGTAAGACAGCACTGTAATCCCTGCCTATGACCGTTATGACGAAAACTATTGTTCGTTACAAAACTCATATTCACGAGGAAAGTTTTTTTTGGCCTAATGACGAAATATTCTATCTTGTTACTGCTGCTACGTTCACCCCGTACCAAAATTGCCTCTTTGTAATATCTTCCTGAAAAGTGCACTTTTCGAAATGGTTTAGTATGCGCAAAGCGATTATTTTCCGCACGACGTGCGTAGAGTTCACTTTACGCACGCTCGTGAACTTTACGCTCTCGTACAAAAAAAAATCCCTCCCCCCATTACCGTTCCAAACAGTGAACACGGCAGGTATCACAAAAAATAGGATGTTACACGTGCGTCGACTAGTAATACAATCGTATTTCGATGCGAGTGCGTAAGTATTTTTTGATCCGTGGGAGGTGTATAGTGCTCGCCGAAGGCATAGAACACTCCCAAGTGTCATAGAACACTTTTCCGACTAGATCACTCGTGATTTTTTTCAGATTTTTCCTAGATCTTTCAAATTTATCGTAATGTCGATTTATGCTGGTATAGCGCGGCGCTTACGCGCTGACCAACGACGTTCGTAACTTTTGCGGGACCAACGGCGTGTTAAGAACATCGTAAAAACCATTTTCTCATAAGATGGAAAAATCGAGTTCGGGGGGACCCATAATTCCTTATTTATTATATCAAGTGTGCAGCTAGGTGGAATTTATCTTACAGCTGGGGAATATTGTAAACATTATNCGAATGTGATTATAGGCCTCGCCTTCGGCTCGGCCTACAAAGCCACATTCGTCAGAAAATACTTTGTGGACCTTGTGATGAAAATAACTATTATGAGGTTGTGCTCAATCGACAGTCTAATGTTACTGACAATAATTAATCTAGAAATGCAAAAATAACACAGCCTTATGAGAAAATGATTTTTTGACATTCCGACCGTAAGACAGCACTGTAATCCCTGCCTATGACCGTTATGACGAAAACTATTGTTCGTTACAAAACTCATATTCACGAGGAAAGTTTTTTTTGGCCTAATGACGAAATATTCTATCTTGTTACTGCTGCTACGTTCACCCCGTACCAAAATTGCCTCTTTGTAATATCTTCCTGAAAAGTGCACTTTTCGAAATGGTTTAGTATGCGCAAAGCGATTATTTTCCGCACGACGTGCGTAGAGTTCACTTTACGCACGCTCGTGAACTTTACGCTCTCGTACAAAAAAAAATCCCTCCCCCCATTACCGTTCCAAACAGTGAACACGGCAGGTATCACAAAAAATAGGATGTTACACGTGCGTCGACTAGTAATACAATCGTATTTCGATGCGAGTGCGTAAGTATTTTTTGATCCGTGGGAGGTGTATAGTGCTCGCCGAAGGCATAGAACACTCCCAAGTGTCATAGAACACTTTTCCGACTAGATCACTCGTGATTTTTTTCAGATTTTTCCTAGATCTTTCAAATTTATCGTAATGTCGATTTATGCTGGTATAGCGCGGCGCTTACGCGCTGACCAACGACGTTCGTAACTTTTGCGGGACCAACGGCGTGTTAAGAACATCGTAAAAACCATTTTCTCATAAGATGGAAAAATCGAGTTCGGGGGGACCCATAATTCCTTATTTATTATATCAAGTGTGCAGCTAGGTGGAATTTATCTTACAGCTGGGGAATATTGTAAACATTATCGATGAAGAATAGGGTGACAATCGTAAGAAAAACTTGATTTCTAGGGATATATCTTAATTAAGGATAGTCAGTTTAACTGGGAGAAATATTATTTTTCGAAAGGGAATGAACTGATTTTTTTCGAAATTGTTGTAGATTTTTTTGGGAAAGAAACCATTCTTAGGAAAAAATTATGAGAAACCTTTTCTGTAGAGGTTTTTGTGAACTGTAAAAAGGTTCTTTTGGTATTTTTCCTTCGGTCTGTGAACTACGAAACGCGTTTCTTGAAATTATTTTCAAGTCTATTAGTCCTAGAGATAATTGCGTAATTATTTAAGGCGATGGCATTCATACCTGATCTCCTCAAACTAACTGTTAAATTATTGGAAAAGACATCTATAGTGATCGCTAGTTCCCTTGCGTGCCACTGAATTAAGGGAAGTCAATTTATTAACATGAATCTCGACATGTTTTCCTAAAATGTCGCGATGTTTTTCGTAGACATTTTTATGAACTACAAACAAGCTCTTTTGATAGATTTTCTTGAACCTACTGATAGCAAAAATAAATCAAAGCGTTGCAAATATATTTATGGGATACAACTGACGATTGATTGCACTGTAAGATTTTTTTCCAAATTTGAGTAATTGCTACACTTGAATTTTTCTCATTCATCTTGGAAATTTAACAGGATTCAATTTTCCATATTAAACAATAATTGACATTTTTATATTTTCAATAGATTGAAAATCCAATTTACTTGAGATTTCCGGAAATTGAGTGCTATGTTGGTAACAAAATATAAGGCAATTTCATGTAAATAAGTAGCTGTTAAAAATTTCAACCTTGAAATTTTACGAGTAGTTTTCTACCGTGTGTTTTCAGAGAAAATAGTCAAGGGGTTCTCTTCACTAATTGCAAATCTATACGCACAATTATTTGAATTAGTAATTGATATCAACTAATCATCAGTTCCAGATTCACTTGCGAATATCGTCCAATGGTTGGATTCAACAGAAAATATCAACTTTTCTCATAAAACATTTCATGAATTATAAAAAAGTCCCTCGACATTTTGTCCCAAATGTGCTAATTTCCGAGATATTTACAACCCAATCCGTCCAGCAATCACTTATGATCAATAACTCATCTATTGAAATTGAGCCGACAATAAGCCATTTCCCCAGATTTTTTGCATCACTTTGACCCAAATAAATAATGACCCTACAATCCCACCGTTTCCCTCATCTCATTCCATCCAAACCCTTTACAAATCCAGAAATTTGAGGGAATAGAGAATAGGCAAGTGGAGCATGCGACCGCAACAAGTTGTAGCAATCGAAAATCCTCGTCGGAGAGCAGAAACCCAGTGGTGTTAAGCTTCCTGGATAAAACTCACCCACATCGTAACAATCCAGTGGATTTCGTTGTTATCCATTCCCCATAAATTTACATTTAAATAAATTGGTCAAAGAAAAATTCGCGATTTATAACTCTGAAGCCATTTAATAATCTCACGTCTACGAAGAATAGGATTCTTCTCGATTCGTGTCAAATGGACTTTTCGTTAACAAAACTTTACGATTATTTTCGTACAATCGAAAATAGCTGTACCTTATCGCGTGATCATTCGTTATAAACTACGATTTAATTCACATTATAATGAATAAATACACACACTCATTTCCTATCACACGACGCACATTAATTTATCGTTGATTACCACTCTATCGATTTGTCAAATAATACCTATTTGGTACAATGTCTGTCACCCAATATATTTTTCTCACATCTGTTCATCAACAGAACAGATATGCATTCATCACTAATTGAAAAAGAAAGTAGCCTAGACGCTGGAAAATAATTTCCTCATTTTGTAATGCAAATTTCGTATTCTCCAACCCTGACCCACTATTGATCCTCCAACAGCTCGCCAACTATAGACACGCAATCCCCCTCAAATTCGATCAATCCCTTCAAAAATTACCCCAATGTGACATTGATTTATGTATCCCAAACATGATATCTAAGTATAAATCACTCCGTCCAGACTCATTAAACCTGTCGTAAATTTGTAAAACGTAATGACCCTAACATTCCTGCCAATTATGCATTCATCTCCCCCATCATTGGAGATACCTCTCATAAACAAAGTAATTCCCCACAAAGTCCCTCAGACTAAATAAATCTAATCACAATAATAAAGAATTGAAACTAAAAGTAAAAAATAAATCGGGGAAGAACACATGAATAAGCAGTTGTTGATCTCCCCCACCTCTCCAATTCCCCTTAATTGTCTCAACTGTCTCCAATCATCACCAATAATTTTTCAATCACCCCACCGTACCCCTCCCACTGGAAGCCCATCAGCTATTATCCACTAATCCTCCGAAGGCACAAACCGGTTTATTCAATGGCATTGACTCCCCCATTTCCCAGAAACGTAATCAAACTTCAGTGCCATCCTCGCCCTCGTCCTCGTACAGTGGTCCATTGGCTGACTTTTTCTTGGGTTTCGGTGGTGGTCTCGGTGGTATCTTCCTCCCCAGTGTGCCTCCATTATCACTAGCCCTGCTGTCTCCCTCATCCATCTTCGTCGACCACTCGGCAGCTCCCTCAGGTGCAGATCTGTCCAGTGGGCTGCCAGCCAGTATATTCGGTGTACTGCGCTGTATAGAGTTGTACAAATTCGTCGGTGTCATTGGTAATGGTCTCATTCTCATTGATGCACCAGGCTCCGGGCTCTTATTCAAGGAGACAACAGAGCTACCATCGGCAGTCGTTCGTCTTCCGAGATTATCGTAAACCGGCTCAACACCTCCGTCAAGAAGAGCCACTGGTGACGTAGGGGGTCCACTGCTCCAGCTGGGGGCCCTCGGTCTTCTTGGTATTGTCACGTAACCGTGACGCGGTAGAACTGGTATCGGTGAAGAGTACGATCCACTGCCACTTCGATTGTGGGGCAGGGTCTTGAACGGCGCTGGGTACTGCCCTGACGACGGTGAACCGTACTGATTAATGTGACGCGGCGTGTCTTGGGCTGTTGATGATTGACTCGTCGGCGATGAGCCACGACCACCTGAGAATGCCAATAGATCGGGTGGGTACTGACGGTAGCCGTTACCACGGGTTTGATTGTCGCGATCCGGTGTTGAACGACCCTGGTCCTCCTCAATCATACCACCCACGACACCAATTACACTCCCGGGGTTGTCAGCTGTGGGAAAAAATTGAAAAAACACGAATGTTATGAAAATAAATAAATAATAAAGAAAAAATAAAGAGAAAGTAATTGTTGAGTTTGGGTTGATCACATAGTAGGGGACTGGTTACGGGGGACGTAGGGAAGTTCGAAGGTCCCTGGGTTTTGTTGCAAGGAAGCTGTCAGTTCTTGGGTTTGGGAGGTCAGTAAAAAAGGGGAAAAGGAGCAAACTTCGACGGGTTTCGGGCCCAAACGGTGAAAATCGCTCAAATGTCTCATTGTCAGTCTAATTGATTGATACGATGAGTTGATACGATGTATCGACCCTTGAAGTAGTATAAACATATCTTAAGGTATATCCCAAGACAATACCATCCAAAAGTTAGTTCCCATGGATTTCCGGAAAAAATTCTTAATGACTTAATTTATTGCATTCTATCCTCATACGCTGTTGATCAGGGCAACGATAATTGTTGTTGAATCAAATAAGAATTTTTTTTTTAGAGTTGAATATCGTTGAAAATATGTAGTACAAAATCTTACAAAAAATTCACCGCATTCCAAATTTATCAATCTATCACGGCCTGGTTTTTTGAAAACATCGTAAGAACATTGCTAAAAAAATTTTGTCTGAATTTTCCGTGCCAAATTCTAGAATTTTTTATCGTGTTCCAAATCCACTTAAATTTCAGGAAATCTTGTCATTGAAAATTCAGAATTTCATGGAAAAATTAACCAGAACTGTAAATTTCCATTCCATTTTTCCCGGAAAATAAATAGAAAAACAGAGAATTCTGGTAAATATATTCTTGACTTTTCAGGACAGTGACACTAAATGCGATTTTTTAGGAGGAAAAAAAATCATGAAATTTCAGATTTTACTGCAATTTCAATGCAATTTGCCACTGAATATTCATATTAGATTGGACATTCAAATGAATTTTACTGAATTTTCAGTGAAACGTAAAATTTCATGATTTTTCCTCTAAATCGCATTCAGTGTCACTGTCCTGAAAATTGGTAGTCAACTGTCCATGAAATTTCATTTTTTTTTCTAACAGTGAATTGTTTTCTCATAAGATGGGAAATCGAATTCAGGGACTCCCTAATTCCCGTTTGGCCTAGGCCTCGTATATTAAAAGCCTGCATTTCATCATTTATCATCTCCTAAATTGTGTAGTACAGCTAGTTAGATTTTTCTTCAAATAGCTGGGGACTATTATAAACATTACCTATGAAAAACATGGGGTCTATCTTAAGAAAAACTTGTTTTCTAGGGATATACCTTGAATTCTTAAGCTAAAAATCTGGAATCAATTCTAAACGGAAGTTGATAAACGAAAGTTGGTAAAACAAAAACTGGCCCTAAGTTGATTTTGACTATTGGTCAGTTTTCAATGAATATCTCGGAATCTAAAGCAGATAGCAAAATGTTTGTTATAACCGAACGAATTGAGAGCTACAAAAAAGGTTATTACGAAAATTTTCATATTTCCCTAACATTCAGAGATATCACGCACGAAAAAATTTTCTCATACATGAGTCCTCGAAAACTCAGCTAACAGCTAAATCGACATAAACCATTTTACCCCTTCACTACTGAAATAAAACTGAGTATGCATTCCGAAAAATATCCGTATTATTTCAATATATCCAAAATTAAACTACATCTTCTCTTCAAAGCACATTTTGTTTTCAAAGTTTTGAGGTAAATATGGATATGCTACGCTTAATATGAATATGGATATTTTCAAAAATCCATGCTCTTTGTGTGAATATCTCAATGGATTAGAAATTTAGACACTTGAAAAATTTTCAGTGATTTGGCCGTTCTCGGACCCTAGGGCAGCTCAAAACCCTGCGGAGTTTTGCTTCCTTTCCACATTCTTTACGTTCCTAACTAGTGCCAAGAACTCCCAAATTCATTTTATCAAAATGCAGGGATTGTTAAATTTCACCGCGGTCTTCCCTTCTGGAGATTTTGCCCCCTTCCAGCCTTTTAACGTGTCTTTTCTAGATTTCTTAGATTCTCAACTGAAATATATCGTTTTTGGGTTCTATTATTATTTAATGACTCGCAAGGTTTCATCACCGCGCAAGAATTTTCCTGCGTTTTTTCTCAAGTTTGAGGAATTTCCAAAAGTTTGAAAATCACGTGGATAACTGCATTTTTTTATAAATGAGTAGAAAACATTTATTATTGTTGGTAATGAATTTTCAATTTACTTCCGAATGAATGTTTTTTTAAATTCTTATTTCACTATTCTCTTCATCCCTTTTTTTTCATGTCATAGCACTATCATCAATGGAAATGTCATTGCAATTGCGTATTATTTCGTTCTGTCAAATGACTCTACATTCAGACCCTCTCAAGACTCAAATTCGTTTTCGGTCCGGATTTAATCAAGGTTCAATCAAGGTTTAATCCGGTTTTTTTCGGCCTTGTGACGAAAATAGCTATTCAGTAATCATGAGAAAACCGATTTTTTCTTTCAAAACGCATAAACAATATGCTTTAACTCAACAACGAATTGTGCGACTTCCATCATATTCTGATCGAATCAAGAGAGTATTGTTATCAATTTTTTGAGCCATGACTAATTCCATCTTGATGACAATTTTTTCAGCAATCGTTGAAAAATCGATTTTTAGAAAAATATCAATTTTGTCGAATCTGTACGAAAAATTGAATTTTAATTGGTGTCAATGTTTGGAGCTTATTAAATTTTACATTTATGGAAAAAAATTACGAAATTCGATTGATCCCTTATGAGAAAATTTCGAAATAAAAAATGAAGAAAAATATATACACACATACAGACACCATCTAAAAATTGCAAACTTGAATTTGAGCGATTACAAAGTTTCGATTCGGAAGTTAAAACGGAGAAAAATAGATGCACGATGACGAAACTTCATGAGTCATTCAATAATAATAATAATGAATCTTGAAAACGATATATTCTTTTGCGTCAATTCGATGGACAGTTTGCCAAAAATCTAAAGAAAAAACGTAAAAGCTGACTGAAAGAGAGCAATACTTCCTTAAATTTCCATAAGCTCCAAAATGCAATATTAACTCTCTGGACTCTAATACAGCGACCCTAATCTGCACACCCGAAACTTCTAAAAGTCATAAACCAATTCATTCATCGATGACATGATTTCTGTCACGACTAGTTGGGCGGAACTCACGTTGATGACTACGAGGAGTTAACGCTTAAGAATTTCAATAAATCAGATGACGATATTACGACCGATGGTCTGTACTAACTACATCAATTTTCACGCTTCAAATACTGAAAATAAAGTCATTTATCAATTGTTCATCTCGTTCCTAAACTGTTTTCGCGTCCTTGTTTTTAATGAATTTCATTCGCACGAAGAGAATTTTAAATTTTCATATGATATGGTTTCACTCGTTCAATTGTATTCCTCTCCCTCCCTTATCTTGAGGCACTTTACCATTCTATTGAAGTTGCATTGAGTTGAGAGTGAGATAAAGGAAATGGAAAAGAAGTGGGAAGTGCAAATGGAATGAAACAATCCCCTTAATATTTTTCGATTGACCCGTGTTCCAGTTAATTACACTGCACTCTCATCTCAACTTGTGCCATATTACTCTCTACTCTTTATTCCACTCTTTTTTTTCCTGTAGCTCCCACTGGGACCGAGAGCACAACGCAGTACGTCTCCACTAGCCAGCCCCCTAAAACTTGCAATAGCCCATCATAATTCTTACTTAAACTTTAATTGTACTCTCTCTATTCCTCATTCCAATTTCCTTCGTCTCTCTCTCTCTCTCTCTCTCTCTCTCTCTCTCT